AGTTCCCACAGATGGCGCCAATGATGCTACCAAAAAATATCACCTGAAAGATCTCGAGGTTGATGGTCGAACTTCACTTTGATGAACATGAACAATCTGTGAATACCTTTAACAAAGGCAACGAGGTGTGTGCTCGTCACCCCTCCGATGCTTAAGTCAGATAAGGAATTTAGTGCGTGAGGCTATAAACTGAAGATAATGAAAAACGTACCTCAAGAATGAGCACAAGTTGTGTATTTATAGGTGTTAGCGATGGAGTCCTAGAAGGACTTATTCTATCACGATCCTTATCCTCGTAGGAAAAGGAGTTAGTGTTTCACCTCAAGTATTGAAATCACTATTTGAGTCAAAGAAGGAGTCTAACAGGGTAGGGATTGTGGTCAAAGAAGGATTAGTGTCCCCATAGGTCGTATAGAAAAAGCTGACGAGTCGATATACATACCCCCGACCTTAAAAGCCCAACCTTGTTTTGGTGTTTTTAGGGGACACTGAGATCGGGGTTTATTATGTGATCGGGGTTCTTTGGTCGAGTTCGTGATTGACAAGATCTGGGATCATCAGTATTTATAGCAAAAATCTAGAAAATTTGAAAATTAAATAATAATAAAAAAAAGTTTTTTTCCAAAAATGGAAAAAATCAAGATAATGACGGAAATTGATAGTCCTAATCTTCAGGATTACTCTCCAACAAATGGAATGTAAATCCAAATTTATTTGATTGAAATATACTCAAAATAAGAATTACCAAAAAGGAAAAAATGCCTAAACGAGGGCCTAAACGATGGATATTGTTCAAAATTGGCCTTACATCAGGGCCAAAGGCACTGAGTTTTATTCATTGGCTCAATTCTAATCGTATTAGACTAGCAATTCGTCAAAGACGAACAAACCCAAAGTTATCATGAAATCAAAAATTCTAAACCCAAAGTTATGCCTTGCGACGGTCCCATTTCATCATAAACTCTAATCCCTTGTGCACTTCATCACCGTTTAATTTATGGGGTGAAACTTTATTAAGTACATGTAGGATATTTAATAGAATTCCTTCTAAACATACAAAGGTGTCTCCTTATGAATTGTGGGAAGGAAGAAAACCGAACATTGGATACTTCAAAGTATGGGAGTGTCTTGCTTATTGCAAGAACACAAATCCTAGTAGGACCAAATTAGGTCCAAAAGGTATTAAATGTACTTTTGTTAGATATGCTAATAATAGCAAATCTTATAGATTACTAAACTTGGAGACCAATGTGATTATCGAATCAAGTGATGTATAGTTCTTCAAAGATTTGTTATTATCAGATAATGAATTAAAGGAAAATATTGAAAACATCCCTAGCTCAAGTGGAACACGTGATGAATGTCTTCTAAAGATGTTGATGAGTCTAGTGAACCACGGAGAAGTAAGAGAACTCGAGTTGAGAAGTCTTTGGAACTGGATGAAATTGATTCTCAACTTATCTCCTTTTACTTAGTAGAAGGAAATGAGTTGAATGTTGTAAGAATAATTCCTTTCGTGCTACAAGTGAAAGCCGACCCTAAAAACTATAAAGAAGCTATGACTTCTCGTGATAACATTTGTTGGAAAGATGCAATTAAAGATGAAATGGATTCGATAATATCTAATAAAACTTAGGAACTTGTCGATCTACCACTGAGATCCAAACCTATTGGATGTAAATGGGTATTTAAGAGGAAATATAATGTTGATGGCTCTCTAAATACTTTCAAAGCTAGATTAGTAGCTAAAGGATATCGACAAAATGAATGAATTGATTATTTTGACACTTATGCACCGGTAGACAAAATAATATCGATTAGGATATTATTCATTGGCTTCAATATAGGATTTGCATGTTCATTAAATGGATGTCAAGACGGCATTCTTAAATGGGGATCTTGATGAGGAGGTTTCTATGAAGCAACTTGAAGGGTTCGTTCTACCTGGAAATGAACATAAGGTATGCAAATTAGTAAAGTTTTTATATATTTTGAAGCAGACACCTAAGAAATGACATGAGAAGTTTGACTTAGCTATAACATCATTCGGATTTAAACATAATAGCGCAAATAAATGTTTATATTCTAAAGTATATCGTGATTATATGATATTTATATGTTTATATGTTGACGACATGTTGATTATGAGTAATCACATGGATGATATAGAAGAAACAATGATGTTTCTATCTTTCACATTCAAAATGAAGGATCTTAGTCAAGTGGATACCATTTTAGGTATCAAAGTTACAAAGTTAGTGGGGTTTATCACCTAAGTTAATCACATTATATTGAGAATGTGATAAACAAGTTCAAACACTTAAACATAAAAGAATATAGTACCCAAATTGATCCAAGTTCAAAACTTGTAAAGAATGATGAAAGGGCGTTTGCTCAATTGGAATATGCTAGTGCTAATGGAAGTCTTATATATGCAGTTCAGTGCACAAGACCGAATATAGCATATGCAATTAGTAAATTTAGTAGATTTACTAGTAATCCAAGCAAATATCATTGGAGGGCCATTAGGAGAGTTCTTTGATACTTAAAGAAAACTAGGAACTTTGGCCTGAAATATACTAAATTTTCGGCAATATTGGAAGGATTTACCGATGCTAGTTAGATATCTAGCACGGGTGAAAGTAAATCCACTTCAAGTTGGATGTTCAATCTAGGAGAAGGTGTTGTTTCTTGGAAATCAAATAAACAAACATGCATAACATACTCGACTATGGAATCAAAATTAGTAGCCTTATCAGATACCGGGAAAGAAACTGAGTGGCTTAAGGATCTCTTTTATGAGATACCTTTGGGATCGAAGAATATTTCTTCAATACCTATCATGTGTGATAGTCAAGTCACATTAGGAAAAGCATATAATGACGTATACAACGGAAAGTCTAGACACATGAGTCTTAAACATGACTATATAAGGAAGTTAATAAAGGATGTAATAATTTCCCTAAATTATGTAAAATCAATTGAGAATTTGGCAGATCCTTTGACTAAACCTCTAAACAAAGATTTAGTAGCATCTACTTCGAGTAGGATGGGGTTGAAACTCCTTCACTAAAAAGGTTCACTAATGACAACAACCCTACATGTCATTACTCAAAAGGTAATTTATGAGTTCAAAGGGTAACAACAAGTCATTTGATGTGTAAATAGTTGCAGCATTATTAAAAAAAAAATCCTCAATAATCTGATCCTAATTAAATTAATGCTGGTTGCTACTGAAATGGAGGATGAGTTTTAAGCTCTTAATGAAATTCAGTGTTAAAACACAAGTACCTCTAAAAGTAACAAAGGTAATGAAAGAACTTCACCTAAACAATCTTCAAGGTGGTGCCGCCTTAATAGAGAGTTGGAGTTTTTTTCTTAAAAAATTGTTGAAAATGATAAGCGCAAGACCATAAAAGCACTAAGCGAGTTATAAGGAACTTGAGAACACATGGTACTCGTGTGTGTATTCTTATCGTTATTGTCATATGGAATAACTGGTTCAAAATTACACGCTACCTTTGATTCCGACTATACTTTATTTGAATTACACTATGGTTAGATTCAAATCAAAAGACATCTAATCCTTATGCATGAGTATCGTATATTATGAATATGAGACTTGTTAATTTTGAACAAGTGAGGGATTGCTGTGATAATGTTGTTCAAAACCAACAACAACAATATTAAAAAAAAAAAAAAAAATTGGTCCATGCGACCGCATGGCCTTATGCCGAGACCAAATGGTCTCGGCATGGGCAAAGGTTTGTACCATGTGGTCACATGGTGCAATTATTTGGTTGTTGGAGGTTGTTTTCTCCCCTTGTAAATTAAAATTTGGTGACTTTTGACTTAAAATTTGGTAACATTTCATGAATATGGTGTATGCCTATATATATTGGATCCATGTTGAAGGCAAAAACATCACAAAAACATCAATGTTCCATATTACTTCCAAAATCAAATATCAAAGTCTTTAAAAGTCGTATTCATATTCATCCTTCGTATTCTTCAAGTTCTCTAGGATTTGCACTTGTGCTTTGATGCTTAAATCCTTGCAAGGCTTGTTATAATTCTACAAATCATTTGCCAACAACCTTCGAAACATCTCAAATTCATAGGAGAAGGGGCAAATATCGTTTGAGGACAACGATATCGTGTTCAAGCCATTCATTGATACAAGATTCGTGATTATCTTGTTATTGGCATTTCCGATTCATATTTTGTGATCTCTACTCCAATCCGGTGAATTTTCTCCAACAAAAAATAGCCATGTCGTCCAACCCTAACTGCTCAACCCTGATCCAAGCAGAATTTCAGGACAACGAAATCTTTCTACGCCAAGTATAATCTGGAAATCTTCCTTGGTTAGAGGATGAAAATGCGGTGCCTCTGCAGTAGAAGACCCTGATTCCGATTTGAAAATAAATGATGAATCGATTTTTATGAGTAATTCACGTGTAAGAGTAAATCAGAAAAGGATTATGACTTTGGTGAAAATATTGATGAATGATAAAATGGATTGCTGAATAAATTCCGGGGTTTGGATTTGGGGATGAAATTAGAGCATATGTTTTGTGTAATAAATGGGGAAATGTGCTGCGTCTAAGGGTTGTGGGAATTGGAGTGGAGTGATTGTCGGTGAAAACAGAAAAAGATTGGTAAGTTCAGTAATTTGGAGAAAATTAATTATATTGCTATTTTTCAGCATTTGTTGAAATTAATTCATTGACAGCCGTGGGTTGTAATTTTCACAAAAATAAAAATAAAAATGACGAAACCCTTGCAGCGCCCAAGAAAAACTGAGAGTTTTCGTCCTAGGAATTTCCAGGAATGGCGAGTTTCAAAACCTGCCAACAATTTTCCGCCAAAATAGTAACGGTTTAAACTGGAAGAAAACTATCCACACATCCACCGGCTATTTCCGCCATCTCTGCCCTCCTCCGCTCTATAAAAACCTCCCACCACCGTACCATTTTCTTCATTCTTGAGCTGTGCAGTGTTTCTCTAAGTATATAGAGAACTGCTGCAATCTACGGGAATCAAAAAAACAAAATAAAGCCTACAGCAATCTAATTTAAAAAAATAAATAAAATAAAATCTTTAACTCACTAGAAAGAATGGCACGACAGGTTGTTGCTCTTGCTCTTCTCTTCGTCGCCCTCGCCGGGGTTGTCGCCGCCCAGTCACCTAGCAGCGCTCCATCATCCTCCCGAGCTGCGGCTCCATCAAAGTCCGCCTCAACCCCCACCGCCACCCCCAAGGCATCTCCAATCTCAACACCTGTGCCATCACCGAAGGCCTCCAGCCCCGCTGCCGGTCCCAGCACTGCACGAACACCCGAGAGCTCTCCTGCTCCTGAGTCTCAGGCAGATTCCCCTACTGATGAGCTATCATCTCCACCTGCTCCAGCCAGTAAGGCAGGCTCACCCGTCCCTACAGCTGAAGGACCAGACGCCATCGCACCCGCTCCTGAGGCTGACCATGCCAATGGCGCCGCCAGCTTGAAGGTCTCCGCCACCATCGGTGCTGCCGCTGTCGCCGGATTCTTCTTCTAAGCTGTTAAATTATTTCTTTGTATAAATTCCTTCATTATTTTGTATGCAATGTGATAGAAATAACGTAACCCTCGGTAAGAGGAAACTCATTTTAACAGTGGTTTCTCATAATTCTCGAATTATTAAATATTAACACAATATACATTTTGGAGGTCACTTCGAAGTATAGAGATTTAGCCCGACAACCATTAAAAATAAAATAAGTTTGGAATAGTGATTTTTTTGAATAATGTGTATTTTAAAAGAAAATTTTTTTATTTTACATGCAAAATATTTTATTATGAAAGTATATGATTGTAAATGAATTAAAAAAAAAAATTATTTTAATGATTGTGTTATTCGCACTATCATAATTCTCATATCGTATAGCATCATAGCAATAGCTCCAGACGATCTTAACTTGAAGTGCATAATTAAATTTTCCTACCAAGTTGCTCATGTTGTTTTTCAAAAAATCTTTGATCTTATAAAATAATATACTTAAAATGGTCAAAATAGTTCGAGCCTAAAAATTGGCTCAATTCACAATTATTGACGTCTCAAATCTCAAAAATGAAAGGACAATTAAACTTAAACTAGGCAGTTTAAGAGGATTGTCTGGTCACAACAAAAAAGTTTTAAACTTCGTTAATGACTCTTCATCGAGTTTCTACCCTCTTCATCAATCTGTTTTCGCGTTGGTAAAAGCGACTTGACGGTTTAATCCGTCATTTTTGGTGCAGCGTTTTTATCTAATTCGCAACATAATTTCGATGGAAATGGCAATACAGTTAACACTGCAAAATTCTTCAAAACAGCAGCATACACAGTGAACTTCCTTTTGTTTCTATGACAATATTTGTTAGTTTTTTTTTTATCATTTTGCATGTATTTATTTTTTGTTTTGTGAATGATTTGCCGTCCCGACTAATGTTTGTTGTTGGGCAACGGAGATCGACCTAGTCTTTGAATAGGTGCATCTGTTCGTTTTTAACAGTTACTTCCAACAGATATGTTCTTCATTTCAAGGGACACACCTATTCAAACGGTTGACTCAATTTCTATAAATTCCAGGCGAATTCTCGTTTGCAAAACACATTAAAAAATTATTCTTCTCTCTTTCTCTTGGCATCATCAGTTCTTTTCGAGTGTTTTCTTGGTTTGATCAAATAGTCACAATTTGAATCAAACGCTTCCATTGTATCCTGAGAGAGATTTTCTATCATACTCCAGTTGTGATTTCATTGGATAGAGAAGAAACATCTCTTAAAAGATAACGTTTTTCGTGACTTGGAATTCATTAAGTTTTCAAATTTTCCTACATTTTTCTCAACAATATTTATATAATTAAAATTAAGGTCTAAATGCTGATAATTTGTTCCAAATATAACATTTATTTAACTAACAGCAAGAGCCCCTCCTGCAGCAGTGCAGCTAAGTGCACCCGCACTAGTGGTAATTGAAGCCACCAGGGAAGATGGTCTCGCGCCAAACTGGATGCCTGGGGAGTAGGCGGACAATGAGGCACTGGGCCCAGACTGCCAGAAATGGGCACTGTTCAACATCAAGTCACCTTCCCATCTCCAATTCTAGTGTCTGCTTTCACTTTCTCGAGAATCTTCGTGCTTTGTTAGCTGCGCATGTTAAGGGTCAAATCCCAAGCTAAAACACTATCATCCGTGGTTCAAGACAATAATATACTCTTAACTTATAATGTTAGATTAAAAGTGTAACCGTACCTTTATCGTGTATCGTTATCATGTATATGCTATTATTTTTGTCGATGTTTTTATTGTTTTATTGAGTTTTTATGTTTTAGACCAATTCCAAGCAGGATTGCAAATAGGTTAATTATATTACTACTAGGAATTTTATTAAGTTCACTACAATTTTAAGTATTTTTCTTATTTACTTAAATAACCTTAAATAAAATTACATAAATAAGTTTTATTATATTTTTTCACATAAAAGAATTTATTGTTACACCACAAAGATCAAATAATCCATTTGAAACTCATTTGATCAACAAAGCCCTAAAAATTCTCTCTCAATATCAAACAATTAAATTAGAATAATGCAATCTGCAGTCACGCACTATCGTGTCGTCTTGCATGACATACATATAGCTATTAGTGATTTGATGTATAAGACAATAAAAACTATCATATTATTGTATCAAATCACTAACCAACACATATATATCACGTAGGTCCACTACGATACTGAGCGACTACAAAGAGCATTACTCAATAATTTATAGGAAGATTGCTCGTATTATTGATGAGATGGTGCTTGATGGATGCTTACCTGGTGAGGAAACATGAAACACCATATTGAATGGGCTTTGGGACAAAAGAAAGTAGCTGAATTGTTACAAGCCGAATCCCAAGAATAGTTTCTGAAAGAAAGTTTCTCAAAACAGTTCATGGCATAATCCCAAGAAAAGTGCCGAGTTGAACAGGCTAAAGAAAGACAGCCGCTTCGAGTGGAGGGGTGAAATGTAAAGAATAATGATGTCGTTTACTTTATTTTTCCCTTTTTATTTTAGTTTGATTAAGTTGTATTTGTAAATTGACTGTGGTGTATTTATCAAGATGTGTGATGTAATAAATAAAAGTTGTGATGGTAATATATTTACCCTTGCAAATTTTGGCCAAAGACATGGAAGAGGATGAAAACTGTGGCAATGATACCTAGCATGGCTTGATTGAGCTAGCAGTAACTAAGACAGGAATCGTGCTTATGGGCTTTACTCGCTGAAGCAAGCAATCCATCGCTTAAGCAACTCAACATGAGTTCGATTCTGGTGTTGTTGGGTGGTATTGGCCTCTCTCACCCTAAAAGCTAGTTTAAGAGGTGATTATTTCCCTCACACTTATAAATTGAATGTCAATCCTATCCACAATCGATGTGGAACAATCTTAACAATCTCCCCCTCACACATCGAGCTTTGTGAGAAACCAAACACATCTCCCCCACACATATCGGGCCCTGCGGGAGATCAAACCGTCTCCTCCTCACACAAAGGGCCTGCGGGAAATCAAACCAGTCTTTCTCTCACATAAACCCATATCTCTGTAACTATTGGGCCGGAGACGATTGCTGGGCAGTGTTGGGTGGTATTGGACCTCTCTCACTCTAAAAGCTAACTCAAGAGATGAGAATTTCTCTCACACTTATAAATTGAATACCAACCTCATCTCACAATCAATGTGGGACAACCTCAACAGGTGTGACTTTTACATGACTTGATGAATATCTTGGGTATAATTTTGGTGTGATTAGGACTGGAAAACCCTCATCTATATAAATAATTAAATATTGAGAGGAGAATTGTTAGGAGTCGAGAACAATTCATCTATTTGTCTAAATGATCCCTGTGTAGAAAATTTATTTAAAAGCTACAAGATATAAAATATACAGTAAAAACAACATAAAGATTTACATCGAAAACAAGAAAAAATGCGGACCATCAAGGATGATAAATTTGTTCAGTCCTATGGAATCTCTTGCATAAAATATCGAAGAAAAATTACGAACCTTCAAGGATGGAGATATTAGACTCTATGATGAGTTTTTATAATCCTATAGAATCTCTGACACACCCAAACCTCCAAACAATCTCAAGAAAAAAAATTCTTTTCTATGTAAATATAATTCTATTTGATAGAAAAGACTCAATCATATTTTAAGTGGACAATACCCAACCAAAATTCCAACAATTACATTAGAACTTTGAATTAACATTTTAATTTAAAAACTGGGTTTGGCTCTCCAAATTTGGAAAGCCAAACTCTTTATAATTAAATGGATTTAAAGTATTTCAATTTTCAATGTAAGAAAATAATAAAAGTTGTTGGAGTATTTCGAAATTTTAACTCTCTAAATTTATAAATGCTCTTCAAATAATATAACATTAATGATGCTACTTTCAAAAAATTTGATGAACATTTCCTTGTGGGTTAGCTAATTTTATTTACGTCGATGACATGCAGGTATAAAAGATGTTATGAGATTCGTTGTCTTGCATGGTGGAACATTCATCAACATGGATGACAAGTGGAAGTGGTTTGAAAACCGAACAACATCAATTGATATTCGAAGTGAATTAGATATGAAGAGCTTGTCAATACAATATCCACCAAAGACCCAAGTGATGAGAAGTTAACATCAAAATCAATATGAAGAGTTTGTTGAGCAGATGAAGACATAATGTAAGGAAGAACTTCTTACTCGTAGTAATGTTTTGTAAGGAAGTATGTTTAAACATTGTCTTTGAAGCCATAGACATACTTATATAGAGTAAAACATGTTAATTAACTCCTACTCCATGTAATTACAATTAATAGACATTTATTTGACAACATAGGTTTGAGACCTATGCTTGTCACCTAATGCAATGATGTAGTTATTACACCCTTGCTTCACAAACTTGTTAACATTGAAACAAAATTATTTGTTTGAGAACTATTTCTTGCCACCAAAAGGGGAGTTTGTTAGGAAAATGTGTAATTGGCAATCTGTGACCAAAGGACCTATTTGTCAAAATTGTAAAGTCAAGGACCAAATTGTAAAGGTCTAATAGTTCAGGGACTAAAGTTGCAATTTAGCAAAGTTCATAGCATAGGTCTAGGGTAAAGTGAGATGCTTTGAAGATGCAAACGGCGCGTTGATTTCGCTAGAGTTTCGCCCTGACCTCGCTCGAGCCTAAATTGCAGAACAGACGTGGTTAAAGTTTCGCTGAGCTGTCGCTCGAGCGAAGGTGCGTCGCTCGAGTTTCGCCAGCACCTCGCTCGAGCGACGGTGTTATCTGGCATTTGGTAATTTTAATGCCTCGCAAATTTTTAACGCTCCATATTACCAAATTCAACCTACTATATAAACAAAACGTCCGATTTTCATTAAAGACCTTTGGAAAACATTCAAACAGGAATTCTTCTCAACTTCCAAAGGATTAAGAACCTAATATTCATTCTTTTCATCTTTTAATTCTTATGGTTTTTTGAATAAAAACATCAACCCTCTCAAAATCAAAACACCGTTTCATATTTCCATATCAACTTCCAGAAGACTCAATTTTAGTGGCTTGTCCATATATTTCGTTTTAAGATTTTCCCATGACAATCTTCCTTCCTATTGTTCCTTTTCTTTAAGGATGACAGCGAGGCAGGTCAACCATTTCCACTCCCGTCCTGTCGGGTATTTTTGTCACCTCTCCCCATCCCCATACCCAATTAAAGCGGGACAAGGTCCGTCGGGGTAGGTTCGAGGTGGGGCGGGGCAGGTCCCTAACCCCATTTATCGCCCATTTAATTTTATTTTTTGTTTAAATTTTACTATTTGCTTTTATTTTTTATATCTTTAGTTAGTTAGTAAATATTATTATTTTTTTCCAGTTTGTTAAAAACAACTTATGTTCTCTTTAAAACAAGATTTTATTTTTGTTTAATAAAAAAATTAACTTTAAACGGGACGGGTAGCGGGACAACGACGGTTTTTCGTACCCGTCTCGTACTCGTCTTGGAGCAATAACCTGGCCTATCCTCATCCCGATCACCCGGTTAGGCAGGTAATTCTCGCTTCATTCGGGTTGGGGCTCACGAGTATCGGGTTAAATGGGTTTTTTTTTTTTCATCCGCAGTCTTCTTGTTTTTTTGAAAAATTCAATATATGCAGAGGAAATTGTTCAAAGATAATGCAATGAGAAAGGAAGTTTAATATGTTCTAGATGAGCCTTTGGAGTGAACCTTCGGATGTATTAATATAAAGACATTTTTATTGAGTAAAAAAAAATGAAAAAAAGATGATCTTCAAAGCTACAATCGTGATATCTATACAAACAATCCTTACAAATAGTCACATAAGTAATTTTCAAATATTTCAAGATTTCATTAATAGGTGTCTGTAGATACATAGAAAGCTAATTATTTAGTTGTTAGATTTCAAGCTGTCATTAAACATAAGTATGTCTGAGATAGTATCAAATTAAGGAATAAGACTGACTTCCTTCTTAACATTCAAATCAAGCAAAGTGTTATATCTAAATAAGCCATTTTTTTAGTTTCTTATAAAATATTAAAATTATTTTCTTTTATGACTGCAGAAAGACAAAGAAGGTTTTAACCAATCAAGCCAACCATATAGAAATTGGGTTTTCTAAACTTCAATGACCATAATGTTTAAATCATCTAGAGAACAGCCATTAGAGCTTAAAATGCCTATGGTACCTCTTGGCTCCATTTGCGGTATGTTTTTATATTCTCTGCATCTCTGTAATTAATAGCTATTTCTATTTCTACATCCACATCGAATGCTTATTTTCTTCAAGGTGGAGAACCATATGCTTACCTTCTTAATGTAACTAATAGCGAACTCAAGTAATCTTTTAAGCAATTGGGAAGTATTCTTTAATGTTGTGGTGGTTTTCTCATTTGAACTTGTGGGATTTAAGCAACAGAAGTAATTGGTATCAAATGATTCAAAATTTCCAGCTTAAATTTAATTTCAATTTTGACTAAATTTTCATGTAAGTATTGTATCATTTATTTTTATTTTTAAGTAACTATTTTCTATCACAAAATTGAGAATATTATCCAAAATGGCACCAAAAAATTTCATCAATTACGATTTTTACACTCATTTCCCTTTCTTTCAAATTATATACAACTGCCTCAACATCCAATACATTTCTTTGATTACTAACTTTTATTTAGTGTTTTTTTGACCAATAACATCGATGCTTAAACCATTTTTTTTCCATGTAGGTAGATCGTGGTGAATTGATGACCTTCTCAACTATTTCTTCCATCCAAGTTTTTGGAAGCAATCATAATGTAAATTGATGATCACATTTTATAGCAAAATCTTATTGTAATTCATGTTTGACCTCTATTTCAGTAATGCCTTAGTTCTCAAAATCTATCATTGTACATTTTTTATGGGGTACAATATTTTTTTTATGCTATTCTTTTAAACTAAAAGTCTAAAATAGGCATATTATTACTTTATAAAATTTCAATATTTTCCATTCTTTGGTTGTGTAAAGTGATGCTGTAGTTTGGTTCAATGGGCTTTTAGAAAATTCAACATTTAGGAATTACAATTTTAAGACGTATTAAAATTGAAGGGAAAAAAAATCTCACGTTGAGATTCATTTGCTGCATGAAAAAACATTTAAGGGATACTCATGCTCACATATTTCTATTCTCTGCCCTTTTTGCACAAACACAAATACAAATATATCTATGACACATTTACTTTAGCGGACGTAAGTATGCAATTCCATTGACAAGTGTTACACAAATTATTCTATATTAGTTACACTCCCTTTAAATACACCTATTTTCAACCAAATTCTTCTATATTAGTTACACTTCCTTTAAATATACCTAATTTCAACTTTTTCTTATTGCTTTTTGTAAATAAATATACTCAATTATGGATTTTCACATTTCTCTTATATTATTAAGTGAATATCTTTATTAGCAAATTCCAACTTTTGACTCATAGATTTCATCACAATTTTGAGATGATAAATTTGATGGGATTTTATATCCATGTTTTACCTACCATAATTATCATTCTCATCTTATACATGAATTACATAAATAACTAACTACAATATGCAATCAATAAGTAATTAACTTTTAGTTCAAAATTGTAAAAACATTTACTTGAACTTTCAAATTTTTTCTTCAAAAATTTACAATTTCTATGCTAATAAAAATACAGCAAATATAAATCTCGTGTAACGCACGTAACAATGACTAATTCTTGTACAAATAACAATCCTCGGGTGCCCCCCAGGGCACATCCAAGTTGGCGGAACAATCACATTGGGGGGCTCTGGAACCAAGTGTGGGGAGTTCGATTCCTGGTTGGAGCAGCCAAGTGATGTAATAACCAGAGGAAGGGTTGGAGCAGCTTGGTGATGTAATAACCATGGAGGAGGGTCTCTTTGGGGAAGGAGTAAAAGCCATGTGGGAACTTGGGAACCAATAAGGGCACAACCTGCGATTTACCTCCACTAGTCACTGAGGGGCCGGGAGCTAGAGGTCCAGGATTTAGTCCGGCTAAGCTGGGACACCTGGGTTATCAAAAAAAAAAAAAAAAAAAAACAATCCTCGGGACAGAGAATTACCCTGTCGACTTTTAAAGTGAGGAGGGCCCTATTGGCCAACTTTTCCAAAATGCAATTGGCAAGGTACAAGATTGTGATTGTCTTCGTAAACTTTGGAGCACAATAAAAAACTTTGGAACACAATAAAAAACTATATATGAACTATCAATCTGAAGTTTATTTTTAAATAATTTATAGGGTAATATCACGTGAACAGCGTGTAAAAAGCACGTTCATTTAATGGCAATATTTTTAACCGCGTGTAACATTGGTGTAATGGTACCTAACTTATGAAATTTCTGTACAAATAGTCCCAAACCTTTCAATTCATTTGAAGAGTTATTAGGGTAATTATATTCACACCACAAATTTTATTTCTTATACGACATTTTTTGAAGTCCAAAAGTTCGTTGAAATAATGTAAAACAACTTATTTTTCATCCTACTTTTAAAAAACAAATCATAAGAAATGTGAAAAAACATTTTTTTTCCCTCATTTCAAAGTACGAAAACAAAATATTTTGATGTAAATTATCTTCAAGAACGAGACGTACTAATTAATCAAAGGTTGAAGAAAAATTTACAGAAAATAATTGCTACATTAATCAGATATTGAGGAATTTAACTACAATTAAAATGTAATGTATCAAATAAAAATTATGATGATAATATAACCATACTAGTTATTATCTAATTTATCGTAAGAATGGGAAATTTTTGATATAAAGACTAAAAAAACCTCACTCAGTCAACCAATAGGTATAAGAGCATCTTCAATATAATCGTGAATCGCTCAAAATTTGTGACGCAAAATCGAGATAAGATATTTTTAAAAAAATATTTTTAAAAGCATATTCATGGAAACTCTATCATGATTGAGCTAAAATAGATATTTGTTAGAACTCTGATTAGATTCAAAGGTTTCGTTAAATATGCTAACTCATCAAAAATTTTGTGTCATACACAAAATTAATTGTGATTTTACTATTATTTTTAAGAAATAAAAGACATCTAGATAGTAATCCATAGAATGCACGGTAAATCAATTTTAAACTTGAATGTCTACTTATTAGACATCAATGTCATGTAGACTGAAGATTTTTCATTATATATTTTTTCACTATCACATCACATGGAACTTTATAAACTTACATGATACTTTCTGTTTCATATATACAGCATGATTTGTAGGGTGATGCTATGTTTAGTCGCTTACATTCCGGTGTCCACTCCCTCACATGTAGGGAGATTCACTTCGAATGAAATATAATTTTTCCTAAATGGGTTCACACCATTATGTATAAATAGTGTATTCCTAATTTTTAAAGCAATTCACATTGTATTAAAGATACTCATAAAGTTTGGTTAGTAGGAAGTGTTGTTTTTCATTTTTGTCATATATTTTTTTATTTTATTTAATTTGACTCGAAGTTTTTAACTATTTTATTGGTTAATTGAATGTAAGCCAATCGAAAGGACTAATTTCACCCATTAATTAAAAGCTTAGAGATGTTTGTACTAAGACGTGAAGGTGAGGACCATTTCCGCCAATTCTCCTATCCAAATCCATCCACCAACACGATATCTCGATATGCATTTCTCAGCCAATCAGGTCATTCCACGTCCATCAATTGAAGCAACACCTTATCTCATCATACTTTGTCTCTCTTTCTCTCTCCTCCCAAAAAGGTCAAGTCTTTCCCCACAAAGGGTGCACTTTTTCATCATTTCTATCACTTTTTGTATGATTGTGCACAAGATAGTATTGTGCATGATAATGATATAGAGAGAAAAATTAACAGATCAAAATTTTTTATTCTTCTGCAAGAAAATCACTGATATCACTTCTCGATGAATTCAAGGAGGTTCAAATCTCGTAAATCAAGAACCAAGGCCAAAAAACCCAAGTTCTTGAGCCTCCGTCTTCAACTTTCACCGGATGAAACTAAAACACCAGAAAAATCTATAGAGATTCCCACCTCCGAGGCCGTCACAGATGCTTGCCACCAGCTAGACTTATTCCCACCACACCCTGAAAATTTGGTGGAAGAAAAGTATACATACACACATGATCAAGACAACGTTGCGTACTTCTTCTCCACCGGGGACAGCGGAGCCACCACCACTCTCACCGGTCTCCTCGACGCCTCCACCATCACTACCTCTTCCTCCAACAACAATAGCATCAGCATCACTAGTTTGTCGCCTTCAGCTCCGCTAACGTATGCTTATGGAGGACAGAACAGCGAGCTTGCACGGACGGCGTTGAGGAACAGGGAGAGAGAGCCCAGTGAAGAAAAGTGGGTGTATTACTCGGAGGTTGTGGAGAGGAAGGTGAAGGAGGAGGAGGTTACTAGCAGCGCCGCCGATCTACGGTGCAAAGATACAGCGGACAAGACACAAAGGTTGTCTTTGAAGCTGGATTATGAGGATATTTTGAATGCTTGGTCCGATAAGGGTCCCCTTTACATACATGCAGAGACTCCACAAACTGTACCTGACATTAACGATGAGTTTTTTGGCCAAGAAACATCCCATGTAAGATCCTTAACTCTTCTTTTGTACTTAATTCCATGAAAACTAATGACTTTTTACAAATTTGTTTTTTAATTGGGGATTAAGTCTCATAAATTACAACTAATGAGAGCCTAATAAGGGGGTGCTCGACTGACCGTAAAGGAAATGAAGACAATTGGATGGAATGGGAATTATATATATAATTTTTAAAAAATGAAAAATAATTCAATGAAGCAATCCTATTACACGGATTTTTGCCAGTTTGATGTATTGTTAGCTAACATAATTTCATTGAACGTTCGACAAAAAATAACTTCAAACCAGTCAATTCAGTATTGTCACCTCATCATGTTAAAATTTTTTATACATTTCATTTGTACAATGAACTTAATTCATATTATATAGGGTAGCAAATGGAGGAGCCGCTTGTCGGCTCAGTCCATGACCCCTTTGGCTCACAATCATAGATTGAAACGATGTCAAAGTTTTTTCACTATCAGACGAGACCTGCTTTTTTGAATTATTTCATTAATTTCTTCAAAAAAATGAGACGTCCTTGGTTGTGGACACGAGTTGAGCTCGAATGTGCAATGGTTAAGCCGTGCAACCCCTAGTTCTAACTTTTATTTGCACATGATATCTATAAGTCCCTTTACTTAATGGGATTAAAATCAAATTTTTAGTAGATTTTGATAAAAAATTGAATCTTATAAAATATGTGGTTATAATTCATTATTAATTTTTACTTAAATTCCCCACCAAATAGAGGCTAAACAATGTTATTTTTGCCCAAATCAAGATACTTTGGACGGTACATCTCTAGCTAGCATAGTATTTGACTATTGTTTTAAAATGTTAACTAAGGCAAAGGTACCCTGGTGGAATGAAAGGGATCCAAAAGGTGGGGTTACGATTAAATTCGATACAGGAATCTTTGGACCATTATAATGAAGTTGCACCCCTTTTCTTTACATTGGGGCCCTCTGCCATCTGTC